GAGGCCCGTGGGCCTGTGGGCAGCTGCACTCACTCACCCGAGCAGGCAGGCAAAGGCGGCCGTGATCACAGAACAAATTCCTCTTGCAAGCCTCTGGCCGCTTGCTGGGTGTGACGCCTGGGCCCCTCACCCTGCGGTCTGAGGTTACAAACCAACCTTTTTTTTGGGCTGCAAAAGCTAATGGTGCAGTGCCAGCCGCAGCCCATGTACCAAGTGCTCCACCAGCTGAGACATGGCCACAGGCTGCAAACTTTAAAAAAAAAAAAAAACCACAACAAAACCACCCCACAAAAAAAAAAAAAAACCACAACCCACAAAACACCTCGCTTTCTATAAAATAAATGGTTCTGTCCTGTGGTTCCTCCGTACCAGCACTGATGAAGCCTGGAGTGAGTGAGTCATGCACATATGTAATTGGAAAAAAATCCACAAAGCTTAGCAAGACCTAATGAGACCGAGTCCATAAATACTGTTAAGTCTTGCATACTTTCACCTTCCTTTCTGTTTGCCATTTCTCAGTTTCAGCTGCTTTAGTCTCTGATGTGTGAGAAAAAAATCTGGTTTGCAACCGGAAAAAAAAAAAACACAAACCAAACCAAACTTAATAAGCTACCTCTAAGCTCCTCTTCTACCAAAAAAATTAATCCTAGGTGATTCAAGTAAGAAACTTGTGGTATCATTTCCCTGCTGGCACTAAAAGCATTTAAGAGGACTCGCTGCAGGACTTCTGTCTGCCAATACTCTCTCACCTCTACTTTTCTTTGAACACAGCTGAAAAAAATTCCTTCCAACACCTGCCTCTCCTCTGCTGACACTGATCCTACCAACCAGACTCAGTTCCGCACAAACGCCATCGCCTAGTTTGCTCCCGCAGCATTTAACCTGTCCTGGCATCCAGGCGCGTTCACTGCTGGTGCCGTGGCCCACGGCGTCGGGCCAAGCGCCCGCAGCCCACTGCCCGCTGTGGCACACGCGCCAAGCAAAGACGTGCCCACAGCCAGTACCAGGGCTCACTTGCCCACAACTTCTCAGGCTGCCGGCCGCGAGCCCTCTCTGAACAGCTCAGGTAACAGACCACGACCACTTTCATCGCGCCGACAGCAGAGCACGTCCCCAAAGACCCCACCACGCCACTTCTGTGCAATAGCTCCATTTTGTGCCAGAAGACATCAGGCGCGAGCACGCCTTTGTTGACAGCACTACGGAAGGAGAGGCGATTTATGTAATGACTGGCAAAGAACGGCTGTGGTCACACATTATCATCTACCGGCGTATACGTCTGCATTTAAACATCTAGGTGTTTCGACTGAGTGAGTTTACATTTCAACAAAAGGCAATCCTGTTAAATGCGCTAACTGGAACTGTTCCCACCTGCTCTCCCTTCTCTGCTATTGATGCCTCTTTGTCTACTGCCCTGACACAACCAGCTCAAGCTAAAAGGAACCTCTACCCCCCCAAAGCACGCAGGCCTCCCCGCGGTATACGCTGCTCTGCAGGCACCAGCACTGATCACGCATCCCCCAGCCTCTTCCCTCACCTCCGCACAAATCGGCATTTTCTGGCACTAATAAATATTACAGAGGGCGGAGGCTGTCCCGCTGCACTAATCCACTGCCATACACGTGCCTGTGACACCACAGCCCGTACCCAACCGGCAATCGCACGCTGCCAAGGAGAACGGCTTGGGGAAGAAGGTCTGCTTGAAGAGTGCCTGGCTGGAACTAAGAGAAGCCGATGGGAGGCTTAAGGCTCTTACCAAGCTTTCCAGCCCTAAGGAACTGATCGCCGGAGCTTTTAAGTAATTGGACTCTCGTTCTTCCTGTAACCTTTACATCACAAATACACGCTAACACCTCCCTCGTCTTCCTGACTGATCAACCGCAAGCGGACGAAGTGTTTCAAGTTGCATCTATGAACAAAAAGCTTGCACAACCCCCCAAGACACAAAACTGCAATCAGGCAATCACAGGTTATAAAAAAAATAGCAACTCAAGCAAGCTGAGGTTACCAAAGATGGGAAGGATAATAACAAAGCAAGGCACCCGCTTTTCTTGAAAATGTTTTATTTGTTTCTAAAGAGGCTGAAAACAAAAGCAATTCAATATTTTGGAATACCAACTACTATCCATAGCACAGAACGAAGAGTTTTCAGAGAAAACCATTGCAGTAGACCCAGATCTACTCAGCTACTCGAGGTATCGCAACAAGGCTAGTGAACAGATCCGAGGATGGCAAACCACCCTTCCGCTGTGGCTGGTTCCGCTGAACGCTGGCTGCTGCAGCTTTTGTCCCCGCTTAGACTCCTTACTGATTTGTGCAACGTCCTCTTCCCCACAGCCGGGCGGGGGCTGGTTATCATTGGCACAGTCACTGGCACTCTCAGGCACCAAAAAACAAAGAGGGAAGGACCCAGCAGGTCACCTCCTGAGCTGGCTCCTCCAGGGCAGGCCCGAGGCACGCCGGCAGGCAGTTTTGCATTACTGTTGCGTTTGTTTTGGGATAAAACAGGTTGTGAGTACCAAGTACAGGCTACCTGGTGTAACTATAATCACTTAGAAAATATAAACAGAATAAAAAGTTGCAGAGATCCCCACCTCCAGCCCCGGGCACAGAAGGGTGCGGTGCTGCTGCATCCAGCATCCTGCAACTGCTTACACCACGGGGCAAGTTTGGCCACTGGGATACAGGCGACTTACAGTCCCCTTCAGGCTGTTACTGAAGAACTCATCCCTAAACCGAATACATCGATTTCCTCACAGCTACCGATCCCAGCTTAAGGAAGTCCTTATCAGTGACAGCAAGAGAAATTGGTTTCAAAAAGCAGATTACTGCCAGACACGTTTATGATTTACAGAAAAATCCAGCCACTAAAAACAATTGTCTTTACCAGAAATTCCACAGGGGAAAAGTTGTATTTCAGTTCTCATGAAGAGAAAAACTACAGAGCTATTCACAGTAGAAACAGTGCACCCCAGTCGACCGTAAAACAAAAATGAGCTTGTAGATGATTGTCTCGCTGATTTTGCCTAGAAAAGGCTGCTACAAAAAGATCATCAATATTCACACTTACTTCAGCCATGAAAGTTCAGAACTTGCTACTGAAATAACTGCGCGTTTGATGGGTTATGAAAGCAGTAATGGGCTTGCTTTTGCTGAGTGTTGAGCTCAAATAAGACTCCAGAAGAATCCTGAACGCTCTAGACTTTGGGCTGGCTTGTTTATCACTTCCCGTCTGCGTCACTGCTGAAGGCCTTTAACGCGTTGCTGCCCTCATGTTTTTCAGCCTAAGTAAATCGGGCTTTTTTTAACTGAGCTGACAACGGGCACTGACACCTTTGCCATCTGCCTAGCTGCCATGAAGCCGCCATCTCCAAGAACTTCCAAGGTGGGACTGGGAAAATAAGGCAAATATAGGAGAACCTGGAAGTCTCAGAAACAATATGAAATCAGAGTTCGTTTGCTACAGCACAGAGCAGGAATACATTTGGTGAAGAGAAGAATTTTTTTTCTGAGACTGCACTGGCCCAGAACAACTGGTCACACACTACTATGATGTTCATATTGGCTTGTACAGCAAAGTAGTCACATATTTCTTCTTGTAACGATGTGTAGCACTAAGCACCATCACTCCATCCTACAGGAGACGGAAAACAAGTGAGCATATTACGTGGTTATCTAAAAGCTGCAAGTGTGAAGAACGTGCCTGGGCTTCTCACCTTGATAGAAAGTGCGTAGAGGTGGTTCAACATGACGTGGTTGGGTTCAGGGAGTAGAGCAGGATCGCACTGGAAAAAAAGAGAAAGTGAGACAGTGTGAAAATAACAGAACTCACAGTTTACTCATCACAGCTGATGGGTGGTGAAACACCATCTGTAACTAGCCGTACCCTCAAATACATCACACTGCTTCTTGCACTGAGTCCATCAACAAATGTAGACAAAGTTTCAGAACAACCCAAGATGCCCTGAGGGTGAAACTCTCTGCATCCTCACTGCGATTGTGAAACAGAACTCAATTATTTCTTACGCGCTTCTGACATTTCAATAGCCTTGTAGCAGGAAGATTAGGGTTTCTGGGAGTAAAATAGCAATCTAGTTTTCATTTCAATTTTGAAGAGACTCAAGTAGAAAAATAAATTTACTTCAGATTAATCCATCTGGACATAGGTAACGAGGAATTTACCAACATAGCAACTATTCTAAGGTTTTTCTTAAACTATCCCCTGTCTGTACGCAGATTTTTTCCCCATCCGTTCACACCCTCAAGGTTGTTATTCAGCAAAACAAACTAATGTACTCACAGAAATGCCTGTGTCCTTATTCAGGATGACCTGCAACAGGTGGGGAGGGAGAATAGGTGGTGATTTAAAGCGCTCTTCTGCCTTACAAACATAGGGCTCCTGGTGATACGGTCCTGGGGGTGAACTTGACAACTCTGCCAGAGAGATGTTAAATATTTATTCTTAAATAGTCTGTAAGAATATCTGCTCTTCACAGGTACGTTTTTACTAATATTCCAAGTCGATTTTCACATCCAGGAACATGCGGCCAAAAGAAATCAATAGCATGTAAGTACAAGCACTGCAGTAGCTGATGCAGTGCCAGAGGACCAGTCACTGCCCAAGAAGTGATTTAAGATGTCCAAAGTCTGTCTCACTTGAAACGAGCTGTAAAGATTTGGGAGGCAGAGTTCTGAGGGCCCTACTGCACTCCAGAACTTCACTGTCACCTCTGCCCAGCACTCCTCCAGCAAACACTTAATAGGAACGTTGCTCTACAATGTTACCTCCAAGGGAACCAGTAAAAACGTGGTACACACCTGTAAAAGGCAAGTATTATTCCCATGCAGGGACAGGGTAACAGAAAGATTTCTTCAGAGTTTAAATCAGTATAAGGAAAGGCTGTTAGAGCACGTGGGGGAAGGCATCTAACTAGAATCTCCTCCTGGCTTCTTGCAGTGTCCAAGTCTCACAAATTACGGTCTTTCTCCAAAAAGGCTTTGTCCAGGGCAAAGCTGCATAGAGCAAAAAACCAACCAAACGCACCTTCTGCCTCAGATTCAAAGGATGGGTCTTCTGAAGGAGGATTTAAGGTACTACTTCAATCATGGTTTCCATCCCTACAAAGGTCCATAAAGAACAGGTAGCAAGGCTGATCTCAGAGTTGATTCAAGCTATACCTTACCTCTCTCTTCTGTGACACTAGAATAAGAAACTTCAGAAAAAAATAGTGGTTTTATGTTATTCTAAGATAGATAATTCATACTAAACTGTGAGGATATGATACATTCCTGAGCCTGTGTTAGCACTGCCAACATGCACCCGATTTCCACCTCTTAATGTACAACTTCCGACCTTCTCAGCTCACCGCCTCAGCAGAGGACTTAGGAGCAACATAGGCTGTCCACAACGGGTTGATGTTGTAAGGTAGAGACTGATCCACCGAGTGCACTAAAGAGAGCCATTTCACATCGCACAGGCATACAAACAGCTATTAAGCACCCATGAGTTCCTCCTAATCAGATCTACAGTGACCCATGCTGCTCTGTCAGAGGCTTCCTCCTTTCCGCATTTGTGATTCCTGCACACGTTCACAGGGCCTGACAAAAGTGGAGATTAATCTATACTGGACCTTTAACTCCAGATAAAAAGGAAGATGAAATTTTTAACAGCTATAAAAAGCATGACGTAAAATTACCAGTAAGCTCATACCAGACATGTCTGAACATTTTTGGGAGTCCACCATCAAAGCATCAAATACTTCAAAGTCAGTTTTCTTCACCTGTATGATGTTGTTGACGGTACCTAGCTGGCTGGTTACTACTGGCTAGGAAGAGACAAGATGGAAAAGTTAGAATAAATAAGCTTGTGGGACTATTAGATTCTCAAAACTACACAGTTAGCATTACCAAGGATGAGATATATTGCTTTTAAAATATGCTAGTACCAGATGTCAAAAGAGCTCGCCCTTGCTTAGTGTTAGGCTAAGAGCAAGTGCAGGATTTAGGACTGGCAGGATGCACGTCAGTTGAACCTGCCAGGTCCAGAGCACTCAATAAATTCTTGGGCTAGAGATAAGGCTAGAAGCAGGTTTGGGCTAAAGTTAACAGTGATGGCACAAGGAGCTAAGCTTTACTTCTAGCTTCTACAGGGCTTTCAGAGCCAGGCTGAGATCTGCATGGCCTGACATAGGACATAGTACGGTTGGTATTGCTGGTTTACTACTACAGCTAAGACTGGAGTCCAAGGCAGAAGGTTCAAAGAGCTAAATTTACTGCAAGGTAAATTCTGCGAGGTTCTGCAAGGTTTGCCAAGACAGCAAGAAGGCTGGAACCAGCAGCTGTGAATGACTAGTTCTGAAGCAGGTACGGACTGCTGGGTGGGCTAGGCTTAAAGCTCATTTTAGAGCAGAGGAGGAAGAAAAAGCCCAGTAGATTTTGGCACAATTACTGGACTGTGAAAAGAACAAGAGCAGCAATAGCAATGTTCTGGCACAGACAGCAAGCACAGCACAGAGAGATCTGGGCTCTCAGCAACACTACAGTGCTTTAAAAGACAGTTTGGCACTAGACAAGACTAAACAGGCTCGTCATCTCTTATAAACCAATACCCAAGAGATCTTGTCATCCATTTGTTACAAAATCTCCAGTACTTTGAGGTTGTCAGTCTGATGCCGCCACCTAGGCCAGCTGGGATCAGAAATCTCTCTCTCACCAGCTTAAACAGTCAACTTCTCTTGTTAACCAATACCTTTTCTCTGAAAAAGCCAGCTATTGGTAGAGAAACCAGCCAATTTCTCATCTTCAGATGCCTCAACGAATAAATACAGTGAATCAAAGAAAACATTACCTCTGAAGGATCATGCGTCCACTGCCCATCCACAAAGAACTTGTATTGGTGCTCTCCTTCTGGCAGGTCCAGGATTGCCACAAAGTTATTGTGACTGGAATTTAAGACAAACAATCAATCTCGAAATATTCTGAAAAACACATAATCTATAAACTCTAACAAACACTGTAACACAGAATACAAGTTTCCTTAATGTGAAAAAAACTTAAAAAGGCAATGCCACATTTAAGAGAATCTCTGATGCAATCTAAAGGTAAAGAATTAAATTAAGGTTAATGATAATTTCCTCTATGACAGTAAGTCCCTACACATTCAAAATGAGTATCCACATTTCCGGCATCAAGTAATTAGCACTGAGCTTTTGTAAAGTCATGCTGACATCTTCACATTACTTGTAAGTATGCGAGACCTCATTTTATCTGCGAAACTCCTGTTGATGGAACAAGATTGGCTTACTCGTATTTCCTTGCCTTTCAGTATTTGCCACCATAAATTCACTTCACAAATGCCTATGAAATAAATGAACATTGACTAGAAGATGAAAGCATGAGATACTTTGAGTCTCAATAGCTGCTGCTTGGTAATTTTGACACTCCTGTGCTGTGAGCTTCCTGATTCTTCAGAAGTCTTTACCAGGATCTCAAAGAGGCTGAGAAACAGTTGATGGTATGTGAACAATTCAAACAGGCCACACAATGCCAGTATCTCTCTCTACTTCTCAGGTAAGGAGCGCAAGTTTGGAATAATGAATACTCTTCTACTTGATTCAATAACATGATTTTATCCAGCCTCTAAGAAGGTCCAAATATCTTCTTTCCCAGAATACTTAATCTGACAAGAGACAAACCTGTCCCTTTTTTTTTTGTAAAGAGACATTTTTGCCCTTCTTCCAGATTCATCTCATCATTTCCTGTCTCCCAGGCTTTCTACTTAGAGTATGACAGTAATACTGGTGTTCCACTGGCCTTTTTCCAGCTCCTGTCTTGACAATTTATTTCACATTCTTCACACACAGAACAATCCTCCCATACCATTTCATCAGGCCACTGTGCTCCTCCCTGAAGTTTCCCAAGAAATCAAGACACTTCTGCAACAATGACAACGCAGGTAGCTGCTCACTGAGATGAGAAACACCAGAAACTGGCAGGAGACCAATTTTTCATGGATATGTCATCATTGACAGACAACAGGGCTCAGATCAACAGTTAAATTCAGATTCTCTGCCATCCATTAAGTTTTAAATTTTTGAAAAAAGCATTGGTTTAAATGAAATACTTAGGTACAGAATTAAGCAGAGCTCCAGAGATCTCTGGCAGGAAAAAGCAGTTGGTATCTTAACACACCTTTATTCTCTCATTCACGTAGTTTACTAGCAGGTGTCCCAGGCTTAAAGTTTCCTAAGCAGAATTTTGACCCTTTGAGCTAGGCAAAAACCAATGATACAGCAGGAAAGTGCACGTGCCATCAGAGACACTATGCTTAAAACCGACTTCACCTTACATACCCCAACTCTACCCCAGGTAGCAGACCGCACAACAAGGATTGTTTCGAGTCATTCCTGCATGGTGCCTAGCGAACAAATCACTCCTTCAAAATGAACACACAGCTCAACTTTCAGCCTGTGCCATCCAAGAATCAAAAAGTCAGATTCTCATCAAGGGCTTGAGGAGAGAGGCAGGACAGTGGTAAATCCAAGCACAATACCAATCCACCAACTGACCACCTTTCGCACTGCACTAAGCATTCCCAGTCCACGGGGAACATCACTGACACAGCAGCAGTTTATTACCTCCTTGTCAGAGGAATTTTACTCCAGTTGTTGAAGGACCCAGACAAATTTTTCCTCCAGTCCAGCGAAAGACTGTTGGTCGAGCTTGAGTTGGGGTTTTATCATTCACTTCCAGATCTTGCTGCCAAGCTAGGAATTCTTCTTTCTCCAACGGAACCTACAAGCACAATATCTTAATCAAAAGTATTCTTTCCTGGCAGACTTAAGACAACCTATATTTTACTGAAGGCATTTTTGACCTCGGGCCCAATTCTCTTAAGGTACAAATCTACAAGTAGTTTTTGTCAGATGGAGATTAGAAACTCTGCATTTCAAGATGCTGTTCACAAGTTCACTTGCACAAATTCTGCAAGGATGTTAAAGCTTTCCAAATGTGCAGAAAGAGTGGAAGGCAAAATAATCCCCCTCCCTCCAGCCTAAATTAGGTTAAAAAGAAATTACTTGAGCTCACAAAAGTTTTCAAAATACACAGATCTAAGAAAAGGGAGAAAAATAATTAAGAAGAAATTCAGTTAAGAAGCAATTAGATGATATGTGTACTGTAGGCACAAAATTTGTAGTTGCCAGAAAGATTCCAAGCTGTCTATAGGAAACAGCTCTGTCCAACAGTTAAAATCTAAGCGTAATTTTTTGTTAGATATTCTTATGAAACATGATAACAGCAAGACGTTTCTAACAATCCATCCAATACTGAGAAAAAAACCCAAAACAGTTAACAGATCTTTTAATATGGAAAATAATAGACAGGTAAAATGTCACCGGCAACTGCAAGAGCATTAGGGATCCAAAGGAAGCTGGGGCACTGCACTTAGAGCTTTGAGCCAGTTACATTTTAGTTTTTCTACAATTAATCCTTGCTGGAAAACATGACATTACACTCATAATATCTACTTGAACATCAATGCACTATCTCTCCTTAGCGGTGGAAGCAAGGGAGATAGTCGGTTTTCATTGTGAAGTCAATGACAGAATTACCGAAGGTTGCTAACACCACTACAACTGGACAGCATTCCCAAACTAGTAATGTTAGAAGACAAGAACAAACCAGCAATACCTTCATTTCCTCTGAATGGAACAAGTCTGCATCTTCAGGACTATCCATTAAGATTTTTGGCCTATCACCCTCTTTTGTACTGATGGCTCCTCCTGTGCCGTCACCTCGGGATGCCTTATGCCCATGACGCTCCAGTCCAGCTCGCTCACTGCTTGTGTTCCCCATTTTTAAAAGCCTAAAAGAGCAGGAAAAGCCAGATCAGCACACATACTTTTGAAGCCGGAACACCAGTAGGCAGGAACACAGGCTGATCAGTAGACCTGGGCTCTGTTTCTGAGGGGAAGAGTCTAAAAAACTTGATTAACCCAAAATGCTAGCATCTTAAAATTATTATCACACTCAAAACAAAGATGCTAAATGACAATTTTTAGCTACTCTTGATAATATGGTACCGTTCAATATCCTAGCATTCTGCAGGACTGGTAGACTCTAAAAGTCGACCAAGCACGTATCTGTCTCTGCAGCACACTGATATTCTGTCTTCCCAGTCTAAGTACTTGCTCTTTTGTCTTCTGAATACCCATGCATATAATGTTCTACCATGTCAGCTAAAACATCAGTAGAACTTTCTGCCAGACTGCTTCAAAACCAACCTACTAGAAATGTGACTTCACTAAAAAATAAAGTTATCTCAGGCAGCAACCTGCTAAGGATTCTTACAGTGGCTGGCTGCAGCTGTACAGCAGAAACAGCTCAGTCCTGCTCATGCTGCACTGGAGGCTCCCGTCAGTCTTCACTTTTCTCTGGGAGAAGCAAGGGCCTGCTGTGAAAGAAAAACACCACTGCTTCCCACTCCACAGTCCCTGTGGCCACATCCACAGGCAGAAGGGATGACCCTGGATGCATGTGCCACTCCTTACCTGAAAAACCACTTACAGTTGAAGAGCAGCAACTGAGAAGCGGCCAAGGAGGCCGTGTGGAACCGTACAAACAGGGCCTTGCACAGTGCCCACCATGGAACAAGTACACGTACAGGATATTGCCCTGTTTCCTCTAAGTTACAGACATTGTCCCACTTCCAACTGTACAGATCTCACCTCAGTCACAGCCCGAAACTAGTCTCAGCGTGCACAGCTTAAGTAAATAAAGAGCTACACAAACAAACAGTTTAACTAGCATGATAAAAAATACCCATAAATGCAAACGTTAACTGGCTGTGCAAAACTGGAACAGCTTTGAGCATTCGGTATCTGCTTTCAATAGCGACTGGCTGATTCTGCGAGGCAGGCTCCTGAGGCAGACCGCAATGAACCAAGCAGCCCCTGAAGTTCCCATCAGCAAACACGCCTGTACGTTTTATCCGCCGGGCCGGCAGCCGGGCGGTCACCGCCT